TACTACTACTACTACTACTACTACTACTACTACTACTACTACTACTACTACTACTACTACTACTACTACTACTACTACTACTACTACTACTACTAAGTTACTACTACGACTACTACTACTACTGATACTACTACAACTACAACAATTACGACTACTACTGCTGCTGCTGCTGCTACCACGACGACAACGACGACAACCACAACCATTCAACCAACCACATTCACCTTCTCCTTCACCTTCACCTTCACACCCACCCTTCTTTAACTTACTCACCACCCCTTGACTGATTAACCACTGATTATCACTCCGCTTCAACAAACACCGACTAAGTTACCACCTCCTTTCCCCCCACTCCAACCACGCAACTTCAACACTCTCGTCCACCTTCATCTATCCTGTCTCTCATCCCTCTTCCGTCCATCCATCCGCCCATCCGTCACTGGATTTCCCTCCCCGCCCCCCTCCCCCTTGCAACTCGTTTGACTTCGGCTCAATCTCCTCCACTCACAGTAGGAAGAGGAGGGCCCCAGCATCCGAAATACACCTTGCTCTTTTCCTCCCCTACTTTTCTCGGAAGGAAAATCAAAAAGAGAAAAGTGGAAGACAGTAAGCGGCATCAGGCTTGACCGTGGTTTTCTGTCACTGATATATCACTACGACATTGATATATTACCGTCTTCTCCGTCGTTTGACTCGTGGTTCGCGGACCGTGTCCACTGCCAGCTGAGCAAGGATTTGTGACTTGCCGTGGCGGTGCCACCCTCGATCTCATACATCTGATTTGCTCCACTGGCGAAGAGAATCTTTGAGGATTCTCACCCCATTGGCCCGATCGAGTGTACTTCTTTTGTCTACTTAAGTGGCCTTTCTCTCACGACTGCTTATTGCCGCTGCTTGTTTCGCTGTATGAGGAGCAGCCAAAGTTGACTACGGCCTCATCTTCTCATTTTCCCCTACCTGAGGCTGGACAGCCACTCGTCGCTACTGCCCGGACTCTTAAAGGTAGACGTCAATACCCGCACCATGCCAGCTCCCTTAGTCAAGGTCCTGCATCGAATGCAAGAACTCTTCACCAACATTGTTGCAGCCCTGGAGGCAATGCTTCTGTTCCCATCTCTTTTCCGCGACTCCTCCCGCAAGCGGCGGAAAGCTTTTCAGAGAGCTTATAGGGGACGTCGGACTCTGGATGACTTTGTGAATGAGATCGATCGTCTGCTCACGGCACCTTTGTCTGTGAAAAACATGATCACAATGTCAGACAAGATTCGTGCGCAGTTCAAGTCCTGTCTTCAAGCCAGCCCTGTATGCATGTTGCCATCCTATAACCATGCTCTACCTTCAGGGGCAGAGAAGGGAACGTACTTGGCGCTGGATGTTGGAGGCTCCACACTTCGTGTAGCCTTGGTGGAACTGCGTGGTCAGGGGGCTATGCGCATTCTTCATGTGTCTTCCTCGTCAATTGATAATGATGTCAAGTTGCTGGAAGGAACGCTGTTCTTCGACTGGATGGCAACAAAGATCGACGCCATGTTACAAGAAGTACGCTCAAATTATGGCCGGGGGGATACCCCACTTTCCATGGGCTTGTCCTGGTCGTTTCCGATTGAGCAAACATCCATAAGCAGCGGCTTGGTAATACATATGGGCAAGGGGTTTCATTGTTCTAATGGCACGGTTGGCCAGGAGCTCGGCAACTTAATTGTCCAATCCTGCAGAGCGCGTGGCCTGAACATCGAAGTGGATGCTATCGTGAATGACAGCTCCGCAACCCTGCTGTCTCATGCCTATCTGGATCCGGCGACTCGCATGTCCCTCATTTTAGGGACCGGAACGAATGTGGCGATTCATTTCCCTGTGCACCAGATCGGATTGACCAAGTTCGGCACCAGACCTCCAGGTTGGTTCAATTATGCAAAACACGTTATCATCAACAGCGAGATGAGTATGTTTGGTGGCGGAATATTACCTATGTCCCGGTGGGACGAGGTCCTGAACAGCACCCATCTTCGACCTGACTACCAGCCTCTAGAGTATATGATCACTGGCCGCTACCTAGGCGAAATCATTCGGCTTATTATCGTCGAGGCAGTGGAAACAGCGCAGCTGTTTGGCGGCAATCTTCCTCACTCAATGCGCGACGCTTACTCTTTTGACACTAGTATCATTGCCTACATCGAAGCTGATACATCGCCCAGCTTAACCTCTTCGACAAACATCTTGCAGAAGGAACATACGTTTACCACACCTCCGTCGTTGGAGGACATGCGATTTCTCCAGCGCGTCTGCCAGATCGTCTCGAACCGAGCCGCAGGATATCTTGCGACAGCAATCCATAGCATGTGGTGCTTGCGCAATGAGGCAGAGTATCCGGAACTCACCGTCCCCGCCACCGCATCCCTCAAAGAGACGCAAGAGGTGACTGTGGTTGAGAGTGAATGTAGCCCCCTAAGTTTGTCGATCGCCTGCGATGGTAGTGTCATCAACAAGTATCCTGGGTTCAGAGATCGTTGTCAACTTTATCTGAACGAGCTTGTCAAGGACACCCGCACTTTGCAACTGCCTTCCATGTCGTCGGCAGAACCTTACATCCGCCTTGATCCTGCTCCAGATAGTGCTATTGCTGGAGCTGCAGTCGCTGTAGCCGTGGCTGTTGCGGAGAAAAAACCAGAGTAGTCTTCAGATGGTACTTGATCTGGTGAGCAAAGGTGCCTGCGGTATGCATTATGAATTGCTCATTCCTCCAAGAATCACCCGGCCTTATGCCAACTTTCTTTGCATTTTAGGTGTTTTCTGCTGTGTTCGGGCGCTGTTCTGTCTGTTGCTTTTTCGAATGTGGGCAATTGGACGCATCGTTGCCTCATTACCTGCTCCTTGCTTTGGGTGATTCACTGCCCATGCCATCGTCTGGGCTGTATTTCTAATCTAGGGTTCGTTTCCATTGCATATACGGGATTAATACTCATGCGCAGCATCTTCGAATACCAAGCGGCCAACAAGATAGAATGGTTGAGGATTGTTTTCAAACACTTTGATGTACATAAATCATAGTTAGCGGTACAAGGACTGTGTGATGCCCCACGGCCCCCTCGGACATATACAACACCTTGGCTTGTGCTGATCTTCAGAGACTGTTCTTTCTCAACTCAAGATTCAGACAGGCCTCGCTGTACGAACAGTGACTACACTAGACCGCGAATGGTGACAGTAGCACGTGTGCACACAAACATGACAGAAGGTCACGACTGATTACAGTCTGCACAGATTGTTCTGGGAGGCAGATAAATTACTGCTCCCCACAAAGATCCAACAACAACTCCAGAATCCGCCGTTGCAACTGCAACAAATCTTGCCTGGTAATAAGCGTCTCTTTCTGGCTGCCAAACGGATTCACTACAGTCTCGGACTTGGCATCAGCGGCCAGCACCAGGTCTTTCTGGATACTGAAGAATGGAATCCCTAATGCACGCAGCTCCGCAATCATGGCATCGGCCATCTGACTCGAAGCTCTGTAGACCTTCACATCGTAGTTAGTCAGCTCGGCTTGATCTTCCTCGGCTGTCTATTAGTCAAGTGCCACAAAGGCGCATTAGTCTAGTTAGATAAAAACCCCGTTCTGCTCGCGGTTCTGCGGTCGTGTCTTTTGTCTTCAAGGCCTGTCACGATAACGCCACCAGCGCAGTACGTACCGAGATTGATTTGTTATTGTCAACTGGCACACCGACAGAGCGTCTAGTAGATTAAGAGTCAGAGAGAACGATCTCTAGATAGTACCTGAGACCCGCTCTTTGTTTTCCTTTTGTTTCGGGACCGAGGCGAAAGGCATCGACCACGGAACATAGAGGGCGCCAGGGGTTTCCCCGCGACTGTTGGATTCCACTCACAGCACAGCATCGAGTTCCTTTTTCTTCTCCGTTCGCGCTTGCTGCCTCTTCACCAACGCCTCCCGACCCTGCCACCACTGCTTTTCGTGGTCGTGCTGGCGGCGGATCAACCATCGGATGCGGCTCTGAAGGTTCTCATTCTGGGCCACTGTGCGCATGACGTGGCGGAGGGCGGCATTCCAAGTGGTGATGGATGAAGAGTCACCTGTTGTGCCATTTGGAGTTGTCTGGGCTCGCGGAGGGTGGGTATAGCTGGGGGTCTGAGAGGGCAAAGCCTTCTGCTGCTGCGCTTGCTGCTGGCGGGTCACGGAAAACGAGGGGAGGGTTTCTGATGGTTCGTATGGATCATTGTCTTCGGGGCCATTGGGATTGTAGGCCTGAGAGTTAGTGGGCGGGATAATGTCAGAAGATGAAGGTGGGGATTGTTGGTTGGATAGCGCAGAAAGGGTGCGCAGAACTGATGTCAGATCGGCTGAGTTGTAGTCCATTGTTTCTTGAGGGAATATGTAGGTAGTGGTAAAGCTCCTGGGGGATATCAATATACTGTAGATATACTAAATGCAAGAAAATGGGAGTTGGGAGTTGGGAGTTGGGTGGTTGTTGTTTCTGTTATTGTACTGGAGGTTGAATGAATGAAGTGGTGGTCGAAGGCGGGCTGGCTCTCTTTCCTTACTTAGTGTTGCTCTTGTTCAATGCATCCATCGAACCTCTTCGTTTCCTCCGCTGAAAATTTCCCCGACCCGAACGAAACCTCCGTTTCCTCTACGATCCGCTCTCCATCTGTCTCCAGGATTTTCGGTGATCGGAGAGGGACCTTTATTCTGGATTTAGCCTATTAATATTGAACCATCATTTGTTTCGCTCGATTTCCTCCTCCTCCCCACCACCCTGCCCCCACCAAATCTCGAACGACGAGTCCGGCTTGAGGTCATACCATCATCCATCCATTATCTCCACGCTTCATCCGGCCGCCTCCTTCCCTCTTCCCTCGATACACCTCTTTCTTTCGCTCGTATTTTCATCAATCTTTATCGGCACATCGACGATTGGCATAATGTCTCGATCCGCCGCCGATGCGACCCGTTTCACGGCCACAGGGCCTTACGCCCACTCGAAGCCTGGCTCCGCGGCTCCGTACAAGCTCCCCGGCTTCATGGCCAATGCAGTTCAACAGCAACAGGGTGGACACCCCGGAGGCAAACCCGAGACCCCTAAGGAGAAGGTCGAGCGATTGCGAGCACAAGCCCGTGCTGCCCGGTTAGCCCAGTCGACGTCGCGCGTGGATCAGATGATCGACTTTGGCCGTCGATTTGCCAACAAGGCCCACAAGACCATGGTTTATACTCTTATTGCTGCATCGGGTATGTTGAACTGCCTTCCCTCCTTGAGCATGCGCTTGAGCAGAAGTTTGGAGTTAATACCAAGCTCGCTGCCGGGGAGCTGTTCCCTCGTTCCCTGCGCTTCACCCTCTCTCCCTGGCCCTTCCTACGTCGCGATAGACGACAAATACCCATGAACCTCACGCAGCGACTGACCATAGAGCGAAACAGGCGTTTGCGGAGCCCTCACCGTCTACTCCATTGTCTCTCTATCTCTGTACAACCGCCGTCAGCGAACACTGTGGATCGAGAAGGAGCTACAGACTCTGCAGGACGCCAAGGTGGCCTATGTCAACGGAACCGCCACGCCGGAACAGCTGGAACTGCTGAAGAATGAGAAGATTGCCGAGATCTACCAACGAAAGAAGGATGAGGAGCGGCAGCAGCGCCCTTGGAACAAGGCGAGGCAGTACTTATTTGGGGGCTTGAAGGCGGACGAGGCTCCCGCCGAGGCAAACCCCAACCCCATTCCCGAGAGCCTGGTCGCTGATGACAAGCCTCGCGTCCTCGAAGCCATCAATGCTGCGAAAGCGTCCGGAGAACTTGTCGCTCCCACACAGCAGGGCCAGCTGGACACCCTGGCGGCCAATGCTGAGGATGCTGCTAAGCAGACGACGCGAAGCTGGACGAGCTGGCTCACCGGACGGTGAAAGGATGATGTATGGAAAATCAAGGAAAATACAGAGAAACTTATATGGGCTCGCGGGGAGAGAGCAAAGCTTTCTCATACTGTCTGCTCGCAGCATTTCCGCCCCGCTCGAAAGTCCCCTGTTTCATGTTTCGCATGGCACATTGTCGTTCGTCTCTTCCTTCCTCTCTTCTACCACATTTGGGGTTGTGGCGTATCCTGCTTTTTCTCTTCTGGGTGTGTGTGTGTGAATGTGTGTGCGCGCTGCGCCGTGATGTATCAATCTATGTGCTGTTGTTCTATTTGCGAGACCTGCGCAATTCCAACGTGCGGTTTTGCCATGTCGATGTACATATACATATATTTCTATTCTTTTTTTTTTTATTTTTTATTTTGATGATCTTACTACATCAGCTACTTGCAGTTGCTAAGCTAATTCGACAATAGCACCCGCCAAGCTGCTGTGTTGCTGTGTGAAATGTGAAGATTCCATTGATTCGACTATACGTTTCAAATTGCGTGCAAATTATTGGACAACTGGATGTAAAACCCGAACCAATCGCAGAGGACGTAAGATGATTATGCCAAACTTTTGATACTACCATGAATCAAGGCCCTGACACCAAGCTCCCAAGGGCCACTGACGCGAGCACACAACACCCAATATGTGGACAAATAAGTGGAATGAAAGGAAAACGAAGAGAATCATTATCGTCACCGAATTAAAGGCAGGGAAAATCAGAGCGCCCTGGCTATGGTATCTAAATCAGACCGTCTCGAATAAACAGAAGGGAAACCGATCACGCCTGAACTGTCGGAACAGTCGTGATGGCTTATTCAGCAGCAACCTTGGCCTTGGCAGCACGTCTGGCACGAACGGCATCTGCCAAGTCTTCCAGGACAGTGACCGTGGTCTCCCAGTCGATGCAGGCGTCCGTGATACTGACACCCTTGCGCAAGCCGGAGGGACCCTCGGGGGGAACCTTCTGGTTACCCTCGCTGATATTGGACTCGATCATAACACCGACGATAGCATCCTGGCCCTCACGGAGCTGGTCACTAACTTCCTTGGCGACCAGGGGCTGGTTGCGGTGGTTCTTGTTGGAGTTACCGTGAGAGCAGTCTACCATGACAACCTCGCGTTGCTTCTTGCCACGGAGGGCCTCACGGGCAGCCTTAATGCTCTCACGGTCGTAGTTGGTACCCTTGTTGCCTCCACGGAGGATGACGAACCCGTGTTCGTTACCAGAGGTCTTTGTAATAGCAGCCAGACCCTGCTTGGTGACACCCAAGAAGCGGTGGGGGTGGGCGGCCGCGCCAATGGCGTCAATGGCTACGGTCAGGTTGCCGTCGGTGCCGTTCTTGTAGCCGATGGGGAAACTGAGACCAGAGGCGAGCTCACGGTGCAGCTGGGACTCAGTAGTACGGGCGCCGATGGCACCGAGAGAGATGAGATCGGCAAGGTACTGGGGGGATATGGTGTCCAGCATCTCGCTGGCAATAGGCAAGCCCATGCTGGTTAGGTCTGCGTAAAGACGGCGGGAGACACGAAGACCCTTGTTGATGTTGTAGGTCTCGTCAATATCCGGATCGTTGATCAACCCTTTCCAGCCGACCGTGGTGCGAGGCTTCTCCAGGTAAGCACGCATGATGACACAAAGGTCACCAGAGAGCTTCTCAGACAGTTCCTTGAGGCGACGGGCATACTCCAGAGCCGTCTCGGGGTCATGAATGGAGCAGGGGCCAACAACCACGAGCAGGCGGTCATCCCGCTGCTCGATGATCTCAATTGCCTGGTTGCGGCCGGCACGGACAGCCTCTAATGCGCGCGCAGGCTAGGACAATAGTCAGTTTTATCATTCAAGGGGTTTAGCAGGTTGGTGGAGAGGGAAAAGGTAGTCTGATTTTATGATTTGGCCCCATGGTGGCTCACACTGGCCGAGGAAGCGGTGCGGAAGTGGTATGACTCACAGCAGGGATCTCGGTCTGCAGAAACTGGGGGGAGAGGAGGGGATCATATCCCAAGACTACGAGGACACAATGATTAGCAGAGAACGAGCTCGGGGCGCGCTTATGCCATTGTATACTCACCGCGAGTGTCCTCGCTGACTTCGGTGGTGCTGATCAAAGGCATTGTGGTCAAGGGAGACACGCGAAATGTGCTGGTAAAAAAATATGGGAGTAGTTGTTTGCGGTACACCCGAGGAGGGGTAATGAACAATGAATGAACAAGTGGGAGTAGACTTCAGACTCTCCCGTTCTTTGGAATTAATTGAGATAAAATTGGCTGGAAGTCGGCCAAGCTAGCGAGAAGATGAGAAGTTAAGTGATTGACAAGATGGGAGGGGGGGAGAAGGAAGAAAGAAAAACAGAATCAAATGCAGATTGGCAAGCGGAGTTCAAGTTTAGAAAGAAGAAGAAGATGGATGGATGGATGGATTGGAGGAACAAGACGGGGACTGCACCGAGTGGGCCCCGCGATCGGACTGATTCACACAAATGAAAAATTAGGAAGCCTCGATTAAGGTTGTATGGCAGGAGAGGTACCGAACCGTATTGACTGTATTGTCCTTGAAACAATACCACTAGGCAGTCCTTCGGTCTTCCTTCCACTACTGTACAGTACCTATTACAGACTCTACCCCATCGATGTATAGTACTGTATGTATATAGTGAGAGTCCCCAGTCCACAGTCCACAGTCCGGACTCCGTTGAGGCTCCGCGCAGATATCACACCCATCTCGGACAGACCTTAAGATAATGGGCTAGAATACGCTCCGACCTGCGGCCAAATGCACTGTAACCGGGGTGAGATGGTGACGTCCTCCGTGTTGCGGTCAGATCAACAGTTATGCCCATAGCTGAACCTTTCCTGCCAGTGGTGACACCAGAGAGGTCGATCTCGTGAAGATCCTAGGCAATCGCGACTCAGCCCTCCCCGACAGCAGTTTGGTGCTGTCATCCATATGTTTCTTCACCGCTAGACTAAAACGTGCCGAGCTTGAAGCACTGACAGATCGAGCGCCTCGTTGTCAGTTGCTCTTGCAGACGTAGTACAGCGGCTAGCGTGGTCTCGGTGTCCTGGGTCATAGAACTGGGTCATAGAACTGGGGTTGCTGCCAACGATAATGGATCAAGGCCACACACGTTCAAGGTTCCGCAGGCAATCATCCCAGCAGGGACTTGGCCAGCTATGCCCTTGGCAATACCATGACCTCTGCATCGGGCAGAAGAACTCAACATCCATCGATGATATACCACTCAATTCCAAGTCATGATGGACTGACCTAACCCCACATGGCTGGACCAGGCAACTGTCGGTGTAGTGCTGATTGCACGGTCTGGAAGCTATAAAAGTTGCCTTGTGTCAATATAACTCACTCTACAGTACGTATCCCCAAACTTTGTTTAGCGGAAGAGGTCATGCTGCCTTCGATGCGAGCGACCTGGCTCAATTTTGAAAGTGCCGCAGGGCTTTAATACTGGGCTGCAAGGTGCAGTCCATGCTCCATCTGTCCGACCATTGGACTCCATGAAACATGCCGAAGCAGATTCGTATTGATTTTTCCGGGGCTACCAAACAGCCTCTTCCGAGATCTCTAAGGCAGCCAGTCTGTATAGACTATCACTGGTAGATCAGATTGAGGTGCCAGACTATTTAAGCCACAAAGGCCGAAAGTCAGCGTTCAGCACTGCTGACGGTCACCTGGTCAGGGCCATACCACAAGGCAGGTCTGCAAGCCATGGACTGAGCTGAAGGCTTGCTCAGTCACAGACACACAAATACCGATGCTTTGAAATTACCCATACTCGAAATCTACCAAGCGGCCCACGACGGCAGGTTCCGTGTGGACCTGGAGATAGTTTAACGGCTGCATATCCTCCACAATCCCCATGCAACTGACAACCCACTGAACCAGGGGTAAGGCAATAAGCTTCCTCGAGAGTGGGCTGGAGATCAGTGGTCGACGAATGAACCAGAGTACTGATGATGCTAGCGAGAAGAATTTAATTAGTGGGTCAAGAGGAGGGAAGAGCTCTTCTTTCACCCGTTGAGAAATGATTGAAAGGTGTGTCCAGGAGAAGAGAAGGGGAGGATCAAGGGTGTGGTGCGCGCATTTACTGGGGCCGGAGTAGTGTTTTGCGGGTTTGGGAGGGAATTGCTCGTGTGTAAGCGTTTTGCCGGAGAGGAAGGGAAGAACGCTTCTCCCGGATGCAGTAAAAAGCGGCCAATCCCGCATGGTTATTTCTGACCCAGTGGATACCTCTCGTTGAGCGATAGTCTAATAATCCATAGAAAGATCGATGTCTTGAATTCTAGGTTCCAGAGTTGCAGATTGACTTTTTCCTCCAAAGTATTCGTTATATCAATGTTCTGGTGGGGGCTCATTTGCCTTTCAATGCCTTCTCGAATCTCGTCCCTCGTCCTCATTCATGGAAGAACCTCCTCTCCTTTCCAATCCCAACATCGACCTCGCCCGTCATTGTTGCCGGGCCTCATTGTACACAAGAACTGAAGCAGCCTATTAGCAGAGTCGAGAGGTTGTAACATGTTTCGTCCATCCCAGTATTCTTTCGTGAAGTCCGTCTGGACGGTACCGGGATGCATCGCTATCGCTAATGCCCGGTCATTGCTCCGAGTGCGTAGATATAAGTCAAAAGTTTTCGCTATTTGAAACACAGAGGCCTTACTGGCACGGTACGAGTACCAGCCTCCAGTTGCGTTGTCCGAAATTGAGCCAACTCGTGCAGCCATCATGGCGTATATGGCATGTGATGGGAGGTTCCAAGAGCAATCGTCCTCCCGAGGCTGTGAGTCTACCAGAAAAGGCTTCGAAGACTTGGTAGGCAAAAAGGGTGCAAGGTGCTTCATCAGCAGCATGGGCCCGAGAGCGTTGACCTTGTAGCTATTTAGAGCGCTGGCAGCATCAATTTGCGATGGTGATTTTTCGACACGTAAGATTCCAGGAACGGTGATAGCTATACGGAGAGCAGCGTCTGGATACTCTACTCGAATATGTGAGGCCATCGCTTGAATGGTTGATTCATCTAACAAAGTATTCAACAGGAGGACAAGCAAAGAAGATTGAGGTTTGGCCAAGTAAAGAGCTTCGTACCAGTCACGTCCATTTGCAAAACCCTCAGTCGCTCTCTTGAGTCACCGGATCGACTCTTGACTGCTTTTAACAGTCTATCTCGGACTTCGTCACAATTCCTTCTCGCAGTTGCGATGACGGGTAGATTCGTGTGAGACAGCAGCTGTTGGGCAAAGGCGAAGCCGAGTCCTTTCGAGGCAGGAGCCACGAGGGCGAACCCGCTACCTGGAGATAACATCGATTGATGAGCTAGGCTTGCGAAGTAAGGTCTTGCTATTGGGCTGGGAAGGATCGGAGCTCAACTGTCGAGGAAACTCCATTCACAGGCCCGATGATTCGAGCAACCATGACCGGCAAGAGTGACATCATCGATCATCGATACTCTGAGACACCCATACGGTACATTCCTTGATACTTGTACAGTGATCTCAGAGCAGGCAACATCATAGGTAAGCCTTCATGTGCGCGGTTGTCGCATTGTGATGCTATGACCAAGGAAGAGATCATCACTACTTTTGTTGAATACTTGAGGCTGAGCGTCTCAGTCACGATGATGTTCCTAAGTTGGTTTGGTAACAGCTTAATTGTATAACTGGTATCCTCTGTGTAATGGTACTCCAATGAGGGTGTATCATTGCCGTACTGGGTATTATTCTGTCGGAGGAATACCAATTTACACCTAGTAGTAAGCAAAGCAAATACCTGCGAGAGCTCATTGGAAGGTTGTCCGACATGTGGCCTGAGGCTTCCATCCATGATCGCTCCAGTTCTGGACTTCCCCTTTGCTTAACTTGAACTGAGCGCAAGTTCAATGTCTCATGTTCCTACCCCGGGTCCTGATGCATCCTTGGCCAACACCATCTTCCATAGACAGGTGAAAAAATGAGCAGTCAAACAAATGGTGTTTGAATTCGCCTCGATATAGCTCCTGCAACTGCTCGGGCATTTGGAGTCTATTTTCCAATGTACCGAACTCCCATCTCTCGATAAAAACAGGGGGCCTCAGTCACTGTTCACACTGCCTTGCCATACTCGAATGGGTGAAGTCACCTCCAGTTCGATCGCTTCCTCACTCGCTCTCTTGCAGTACTGCTCCCAGATTAGACATGTTCACTTATACCGCCAAGCGTCCGCGGGAGAAGGAGGACCATGAGCCCGATGGTATCACAACTCATGAAAAAAAGGTACGCCTGGAACTGAAGTCCGCAGGAAACCGTGATGTAGTGCTCACAACAGGCAGAAACATCGCTCTTTGCCTCTACGTGCCTCTCCCCAAACAAATAGCAGTTTGCCGTTCTTGAAAAGTTACCAGAATGCCCCACAAGTCGGCGTATCGAGTCTGACCCCAGCGGAGTCCTCGGAGGATGATAATGACCATGGGCAGCGTGGCGACAACCCTCGCAGCTGCTTAATGGAAGCAGAGTACCAGCAGGCTCAAACAGTGCCTTCAGCCGCTCGGTTTGGCACGGAAATGGACGTTGACAACGGCGACAATATCGGTGTGGATTTTGTTGATGAGAGCTGCAATGACCGCTCACAACAATCCCCGATACCACCCAGAGTCATATACCGCTCGCTCACAATCAGCGAGCAACAAACTACACGCCTCGCCCATGAAGCCTGCCCCCCTGCGGTCAATTCCACTGAGAACTTGGAAAATCGAAATGGTGCATATCGCACACGTCGCGATGCTTTGGATGACTTGTACAACGACCGCAATACAGCTTGGTGGCGTGATCAACATCTTCCCAGCCCCGTTAGTGACGGCGATGCCATGGCCATCAGTAGTAAAGATTCGGCTAGTGATGCGGAAATGACCTACACTGTGTCGCGTCCGGCGTCCCCTTCTTCTGGACAAATGAGTGGCTTGTATACGAACATGCGTGAATCGGATCCTTCGCTGGGTTTCATTACAGGGGGTGAAATCAGCTCAAAGAAGTTGACATTCTCGATGGGCTACCGGTCTGATTGTGATAAATGCCGACGCAGAGTCCCTGGTCATTACAGTCACATCATACGCGGTTGATAATTTTATGATACCCTAGGTTCACGGTGTTTCACGATGAAGGTTCCAGTAAAGAGTTGTGACTCTTGGTCACCCTCACAAAATGTAGATCTCCACCTACAAAGTCGTATCATAGATCTATCTACTTTTATTTGCTTACCTGTTTCGGAATGCACACTTCTAGACCTCCGGAAGTGTAGCCATGGCTACCAGGCACTGTCCGGTCATTTCCGACTGCGTGTTCCGATGAAGATGACATAAGCATTCGGATCCGAACAAGACGGAACGGATTCAACTGGTCATTTGCCATCGGAAAGCAGACCGTACCTATTCGTTAACAGATAAGGTAGGTAGACCAATGGGAAGTACATATTCGGGCAGGCGAGAACAGCAACAGATCACTCAAATTGGCCACCAAGAAAAGAAGAAATACGGAAGGAGAGGGGGCGGGGTTCCCGTACTGGGATATTTGTAGTCGAATACGTACAGCACAACACTTCGGCAAGGCATAGCCGTAATCAGATCCTCAGATTTCCCCCCCCTCCGCCTTTCCCCGCGGCTGTCCGCTTAGCCGATCTTCACTGCCGGCAATTCGGTGGCTCCTCCAGAACGGCTCGTCCACCTGCAATGGATCCCGAGCCCCAGAATTTCCTACCATGGCGGTCCTTCTTCGTCAATAAGTATGCTAGCGCTCCCCAGTTTCCTTCTTTTTCCTGTCGGAAACGAGGCACGAGCTGCGACTTCTGCTCTAACGTGATATCCTCTAATTTTCTGATCCTCTGATCCTCATTCCATTCCAAGGGAACCCCTAGATCTACTTCACAATGGCCTCTCCAATTCCCCGGGGCCTGCGCCAGGTCCTTCAGAAGTCGCCCAATGACATTGTCATTCTCTCTTCTCTCCGTACGCCTGTCACCCGGGCGAAGAAAGGTGGCTTCAAGGATGCTTATCCCGAAGAGCTCCTTGCCAACGTGCTTCGTGCCACTCTTGAGGCGAACCCAAACCTTGACCCGGCCCTAATCGACGATGTCGCCATCGGTTCTGTTCTCCAGGAGCTCGGCGGTGCCAAAGCTGGCCGTATGGCTCAGATCCATGCTGGGTTCCCTAACACCGTCTCTTTCCATACTATCAACAGACAATGCTCCTCCGGCCTGGCTGCTATCTCCACTATTGCCAATGGAATCCGTGCCGGCGCGATCAACATTGGTGTCGGTGGTGGAATGGAGTCCATGACCCGCAACTACGGTTCCCGCGCTATTCCCACTGTCCTCTGGCCTGAACTCAAGGAATCATACTCGCAGGATGCCCGGGATTGCATCATGCCGATGGGTATCACTTCGGAGAATGTCGCCGCTCGCTACGGGGTCTCCAGAGCAGACCAGGATGCTTTTGCCGCCGAGTCGCACAAGAAGGCAGCTGCGGCCCAAAATGCCGGCCTATTTGACTCCGAAATCGTTCCCGTGAAGACCCTGTCCTACGATCCCGCGCACCCCGACGCTGCTCCCACCGAGATCACCGTCTCTAAGGATGATGGAATTCGCCACAACCTGTCAGTGGAAAAAATGGCTAGCTTGAAACCCGCATTTTCTGCCGATGGTGCCAGCACTGCTGGAAACAGTTCTCAGGTTAGCGACGGTGCTGCTGCGGCCCTGCTGATGCGCCGCTCTACGGCTACTGAGCTCGGCTTGGCCTCTTCCATCAGGGCTCGCTGGGTTGCTTCTGCTGTTGCTGGCTGCGCTCCCGACGAGATGGGTGTTGGCCCTGCCGTTGCCATCCCCAAGCTTCTGCAAATGTTGGACATGAATGTCTCCGACGTTAACATCTGGGAGATAAACGAGGCCTTTGCCTCCCAGGCTCTGTACTCCGTTCGCAAGCTTGGAATTGATGAGTCCAAGGTCAACCCCAAGGGTGGTGCTATTGCCATTGGTCACCCTCTGGGTGCCACTGGTGCCAGACAATTGGCGACTCTTATTCCTGAGCTTGAGCGCACGGGCCAGGACGTCGGTGTTGTCAGCATGTGCATTGGAACCGGTATGGGTATGGCTGGCATGTTTGTCCGGGAGTGAAAGTGATGAAAGTGAGGATCTCATTCTGTACAGTTTTTTTTCTTTTACATTTTCATGATTTCAGCGTAGACGCATGTATATACACCCACAATTCATGAAGTATTACTTTCCCAATAGCCGTTTTTTCTTTGATTGCCTGCTCTTCAGCATCTTGACAAAAATCTTGACAGTCAACGACTGTAGAATTTTTGGGGGGTACTGAACGGTAGTTAGTTACCTAGCAGTTTACGTGGACGGTGGTTCAAGCATGAGTATTCTTCCCGACGCCAAGCCCGGTAGTTCATCTCACGTGACAAACCGTCCGGAGTTCATGAAACTTTTCCCAAGACTGGCCGAAGAGTCCCCGACAGCAATCCCGCAACGCTGCAGTCATGCGTCCCTCTGTGCGTTTGTTGAACCTGGAGGTGCCCTCTATCCAGGGGGCCCGATCTCTCTATGTCTGCTCGGTCTGCAGACATGAAGCGCGTCCCCGTCCGATTGTCGCCCGCCAATTCTTGCGCAACGCCTCCAACGCGAACTCACTGACCGAGAAGGTGCGTCGCAAGATCTGGGGCACCGACAACCCTCCCGGTCTCAAAGACCCCTATGGTGGAGAGGGTGCTCTTGAGCGGAAATTCAAAAGCAAGCAACCTCCGACGGTAGTAGAAGAGGAGACACCGGAAGCCTCGCAGGCGCTCGACACCGCTGCCTCCGAGGCCGCTGCACCCGCTGCAGACGACTATGAGCCGGCGACAACATGGGAGGGTCTCGATCGCGTCGGCCACCTCGGTCGGTGGTCTGACCTTCCTCCTGCGCCGACTGACGCATACAAGTCGTAAGTGTTCCTCTGGCCGTTCGGTCATTCCGCCTTGTTGTCATATGGGAAACGAAACACTTCCGTATAGTTGTTCGTTGGGCTTTGAGCAAGTGTCTAATGAGTCTTTTGGTGAAACAGATTCCAGTACAAGAAGAAGATTACTAAGAAGGGCCTACTCTCAATCGCGGCTCACCAGGCTGTCGTCGAGCTCTGCCTCATGCATCAGCTGGGTAAGCCCTTGACGAGCGTCTGTGATGTCGAGGAGCACGATCAGTCGGTTTTCAAGTTAATCTGGAAGACCAAGGTGGTACCTACCACGGATGGACAATGGAATGCGGCACTGGAGTATCCCAACAAAGAGGCTGAGGAGGCTCTTGTCTATGTTTTTGAGCAAATTGGTGGCCAAAAGGTCGCTCCTGAAACGGAAGAAGTGTCGCAGGATGCTGGAGAGGCAGAAGAGGCGACAAACGACTTGACAGACATCCTCGACACTGACGAGACCAAGCAACCTTTCTTTGGTTACCAAATTATCCGTGATAATGGTTTCTTGTCTCTGTCGCTGAATGACCCGGCCACGAAGTTTGCTGTCAGTTTCCGTCCCCCCTTCGCTCTTCATCGGACAACTGATGCCCCTTGATCATTCTCAATCTGACGCAGTAACTGACTCATTTCGAACTTAGTTCTTGAAGAGATTCTCCCAATTGACTGGCCACTTCTTCCCCGACCCTGCTGTTCATTCGATCGCCACTGTTCAGCAGGCCGTTGACCACGTTCAGCAAGTCGTGAAGCCGAAGCCGAAGAAGCTGGCTGACTACCTGGCCAATAATCAGCGGTACTCAAACATGCCCAATATCAAAGTCTTCGCCAAGAGACAGAAGCGTTCTGACAGGGATGAAGAATTGGGCCGCAAGAAGCTCATTGAAGCCGAGCTTCGCGCCAGAGGTCTTATTGAATAGACTGCTATGATCGTGGGTTCGGGGTATGTCCCCGACGTTTAAATTTCTAGTTCTTGTAGCATGTTATTTGATAAACCCTTGCTGTACAATAGGAAGCAATGTCTTGTCCGTTCGAATGTCGTTCAAGTATCAGTACACAAATTCAAATCTATCATACAAAGGAATTAGGGTCATGAGCTAGATCCTATGGGTTGCCCAACTTTCACTGAGAGAAGCAGATCCTTGAAACGCCAGTTTTGTGACATAAATGAGCAGAACGCAGGAAGAAGGTACTCAAGCTCGGTGCCTAGAATTTGCAGGAAGGGTAAAGCCTCGGGTCATGAAGTCAGTATTCTTTGACATTCCATCTTTATGGGACTCCCCCGTGAAGAGACTGCTCAGGTTGTCATTATGTCCCATCAGCTTGCGTCGCTTTTTCTTCTCATTCTCCTCCTCAAGTACACGAGCAGTCAGCATAGCGGTGGCTGCATTCTTGATCCCACTAGGAGCATTTGAAGTAGGCGTCGACGTGTTGCTACGGCTAGCAGTGGCAGATTCTTCTCTCGTGCGCAAGGCTGACGATGACACTGGCTTGGAATCTTTCCCCGGCTTGACCTCTGACTCAGTACTGGCGAGAGCAGCGACAGCATCGCCATTAGCGTGCTTCTTCCGTTTTTTCGAACCAGGCGCCTTCTTCAAAGAATGTGTCAATCCTTGCTCGGCAAGCTTCTGGCTTCGCTCGATCAGCTGTTGCTTATCCGACTCTTTCGCCGGGAGTATGGTTATCACATTGTCGCTTGTGTAAGGTTCGTCGCACTACATGCACGCCTGTTAGCGCAATCCAATTATCAGGGCGTAGCGGGTTCGTAAGCACCTGTAAGCACCTATCGCCCTTCAGCTGACGGATTGCTTCCTCGGAGAAGACATGTCCGCAAGGAACCAGGTAGACGGATTTGACACTCGGGCCCAACTGCTTGGCGGTGACTGGACAGACCCAGGCCTCGCGCTTCTCGTGCTTCCCAGATGGATGTCCACCGTGCTCGGTGTCAATTTCGAACTTCAGCTCCACGATGTCACGGAGACTCTTCACCCGGCCACAGAGAAACTCATCACAGTCGGCTTTCGAGCTGATACCCTCGGCGTCATCTCCCGGTAACAGATATCGTAGGACGGAGTCTTTATTAAACAGGTTTCCGACACAGTCGGAGACGATAGGCCGCATTAACTGTTTATGCGACAGGGGACAGGTGTTCCAGAAGTGTTCCTGCAATTCGCGCTGGGTTTCTTTCAATTGCGCCGTGCTGGGATTCCGGGCGGCTTCGCGAACGAGCTCGCGGCGAGTGGGAATACTGAAGATGGGAGAGATTAGTGACTTTGTACACCACGGAACTAAGAGATTTGGTCCTTTACCTTCCACCATCATTACCCATTTTCTTTTGTTTGTTCCGACACCCGAAAGGACAGAAAGTGGTAAAGTTGATCCTAAAGTGCTGGAGAAAGATGCTCCCGCTGGTGAGCGACGCCGGTCGCCACTTTAGATTGGAACCGATTGCATTGATAAGGGGCTGACTAAGACGCTCTGGGCATCTCCCCGGATTGCTCGATGGAGACGTGCGTTATCAACAGCTGGCCAGAAGCTCTCTCCACATTTCTATTCATTGAACTCTTCCTACGGTGACTGGACGCTCCGCTTCCGGTCGCAATAGTGGTTGGCGAGTCAAGCTCAAGGCTGCCGCCATGATACTTCCTCAGGGATCGCTTTTCTTTGCCAGCATAGCTGCATGCTCGACCGTGGTAGCTGCTGCGGGTGATGCCTCGTCTCGACCCCGGGGAGTCGGACCCGAGTGTGAGTATAACTCTTCTCTGCTGCTGTTCTTTGCGATCACTTGAGCTTGATGCGCCCGCTCAGTCTCTGATGCCACTTGCCTTGCCATCTTCATTTGATTTTCCCTTGCCGATCTACGTTCCATGAAGCAAGCTCCCTCGGACGCACCCGAACAAACTAACACAATGGTTGAATTTCACAGTCGCAAAGTTCTACAAGGACACCACAACATTCACCTGTATCTCCCACCCATCGATTCAGATCCCATTCTCCGCGGTAAATGATGACTACTGTGACTGCCCCGATGGTAGTGATGAACCCGGCACGTCGGCCTGTGCTCACCTTTCCCGGAACTCAGCGTTGACAGTGGCCGACCGGCCAGGGAACAGCGACCTCGAACTCGTCTCTGGCCTTCCGGGCTTCTACTGCAAAAACAAAGGCCACAAGCCATCCTACGTTCCGTCACAACGAGTCAATGATGGTATCTGCGACTACGAACTTTGCTGTGATGGGAGCGACGAGTGGGCCCAGGTCGGCGGCACCAAGTGCGAGGACAAGTGCAAGGAGATCGGGAAGGAGTGGCGCAAGAAGGAAGAGAAGAGGCAGAAATCCCTGACGGCCGCTCTCAAGAAGAAGCGCGACCTGCTTGTGGATGCGGGCAGGCAACAGAAGGAGGTTGAGGACCAGATCAAGAATCTGGAGGTGGAAATCCAGGCCCAGGAGATCAAGGTCAAGGATCTCCAGACCCAGTTGGAGAAGGCTGAGCAAGAAGAGAAGAGCAAGGTGGTCAGAGGCAAGAAGGCTGGCAAGGTCAATGTCTTGGCCCAACTGGCCAGGGGTCGAGTCGAAGAGCTTCGGGACGCACTGGTGAGCATCCGCAAGGAAAGGGACGATACCCGCGCACGCGTGAAAGAGCTCGAGGAAATTCTGTCCAAGTTCAAGGTAGAGTACAATCCCAACTTCAACGACGAGGGTGTCAAGCGTGCTGTGCGCAGTTGGGAAGATTATGCCGTCAGGGGAACCCTTGAGAGTGCCACGAGCGCTGCCCAAGACAATGATCTGGACGAATTGGTCAAGCCAGACGATGCCCAATCTGGAATCAATTGGGAGCAATGGGAGAACGAAAACGAGGGCTGTGAGACTGACTCTGGTAAGTACACCCACCGCGATGGCGGCCTTACCTTTGGTTGATAATGACCGTGAATAGCCCTGATCTACCAGCTGGCAGCTTATTTGCCTCCTTCACTGGTTGAGTTCATCGAGACTAAAGTGGTCTCCGTCCGGGGTTTTCTTGAGGAGAACGGTATATTGCCCAAGAAGGACGAACCTACGACGTCCGAATCCAAGGTCGTGTCAGACGCTCGGGATGCTGTCAAGTCGGCTGAGAAGAGTCTTGAGGACTCGCGAAGACAGTTGGAGACCCACAAATCCGACCTTGAGACAGACTATGGTCTTGCATCCATCTTCCGTGCATTGAAGGGAGTATGCATCTCGAAGGACTTTGGTGAATATACGTACGAGCACTGTTTCCTAGATCAAACCAAACAGATTCCCAAGAAGGGCGGTGGCTCGATGCGAATGGGGAAGTACTCTGGCATTGGGTCTGTTAGTGTGGACGTGGTCGACGAATCCGGAGATATAATCCCCGAGGAGAAGGTCGCCCTGCATTATACCAATGGACAAACATGCTGGAACGGACCGGCACGATCGACCACGGTCGTCTTGGAGTGTGGTGAGGAGAACGAGATTCTGAAGGTGGCCGAAGATGAGAAATGCGTCTACTCGATGCTCGTTACCTCGCCGGCGGTTTGTCCCGGCGGTGAGGAGGAAGGGAATGCTGCCCCGAGGAGCAAAGATGAGCTGTGAGGGACTGGCTGTAGTCTACTGACGTGCTTGTGGGGTCATATATAGTTAGCGTTAAGTAGTTCATACTTAGTAGAGAATTTTTTGAATAGCATATACGGCAATTGACGTTGCGTTGTGTTTTGAAGGCCGAAATATCATGATCAGCTCCTCGCCTCAACAGTCTTTCTGACAAAGTATGTCTATCCAGAATGCGAATCAGGGTGACGATTTGAGTTATTTCCACTGTTTACTTGGTTTCATCAGTCGTGATTGGTGCGGCTATCGCGGTGGTTCCATCAAGAGAGAACCGGGAATTTATACTAGTTTGAAGCAACCCAGCACTGCTACTCCGTGCAATAGTAGAGAATACATGTGACCGGTAAGTTTGAGTTCTTTCAAGTGGAGCCTTGTTGAAGTTGGGTCCCCTACACTGGTCAACAGGAGGGGTAGGGCGGGGTGGTTTTAGTACTGCTACCACAGTACGTACGGTGTATCAGAGTACTCCGTAGTTACAGTATCCGAGTAGATCAATGATACAATAGATATCTATTGGAACCACAGACCCCTTCACAAACAAGAATCTAGCACGGTAAGGTCCACGATCGAGCAGCCAGGACGACTCTTCTCAGTCCACGCACGCATGCTGATACCCACTTGATTCTCCATATCCTCGTTATACACTCCTTGCCCCATCCACAGCGGCTTCGACGTGGCAGCAGTGATCATGACGGCAAGGATCACCTCCTACGGCCCGCAATCGTTATTGGGCGTGCTATGGAGGAATTCTTTCAGGGGCATCCCAGCAGAGAAATGATTCTAGGGTCAGCGATTAGAGACACCTGGGATAACCCGTCTTCCAGGCCTTGTAATGGAGAAAAAAAGATAATCAATCCGCAGAACGTGAGACAATTGCCTGCATGTATCATCAGCCCACTCAAGCAATCTGCTTTATCGGTGGGTGCTTCACCCTGAGGGGCAAGGAACCCAGCTTGCGGTGGGATCCATGCGAGTCGCACTGTGGGTTCAGCAAGCATGGAATCCTCCAGTCATGCTCACCAAAGCCATGCAGAAGGCTGAAAAGAAAGAGAACAAGCCGTTTGCTTGCCCCTAGTGAAGTATATACGTATGGATCAGCAGACGCCGTGCAGCAGTGTTGGTGGGATGGAATTCATGCGCAGAGCTCACCTTATAGTCAAGCATAAGAAAGTTATAAGAACCCTCTCCCTCTTTTGACCTGTCTGTTCTGGTTCATTCATCCTGCACAATCCCACGATTCTTTCCACAGACCTTCTTTCTGACTCTCGCCGAGCAAGTTCAACAGACGCAAGTCTACCTCACATCCAAACTTTCATCATGTCTCCCTGCACCTGCAACTCCTGCGCCACCAGCTGCGCTGGTAGCTGCAACTCCTGCTCTTGTGGCAGCTGCTCTGTACGTACCACCACATGGCTTGGGTTACATGACTCGCGACTGGAAGCTATACCAGCCTGATAGAGCAATCTCGGAAGCTAACATATGGGGGGAAAGCACTAAACGATTCGTCCTGTAACCCGCTCGATGCGGGAGACTGTGCGATCTCCGATCTATGATGGACTTCTCTCGTGCTTATCGGAACTATGACCATGGCTGTTTGTTGGCTGGCGGAGAGTGGTGTGGGACGAGACTGTCCTGTTTTGAAAGTCGCATGTCTCTTGTTTCTTCACTTTCTTGATGAGCCTTTGGCATGTGCGGCGGATTGGTGCAACTATGAAGAAGAGCCTTTACAGAACTTGAAATGATCAGAAGCGGTTTCGACCAATAAAGTTTGTGATCCGAGTATGGCGACTTCTTCAAGCAGATTATATTTCCCCGAGGCTCTGGTTGCACGACCTACCTAGTAGTGTGGCAGATATGCCGAATACGTCGTGCTACACAACGTGCGTAGCTGAGTCACTGGCTTTGGATTCCTCTATGTGCGTGGAGTCTGAGAGTACAGTACATGTGCAGTAGACCTTATCTCGGGGGTAACAAGCATGCTCCAGCTCTCTGTAACGGCTTGAGAGCCTTACGTGATCTAGGAGGAAGGTTAAGCTGTAGATAGGGTCATTGTCCTCTGTTGTGGTTTGATTGTGATCTTGTATGGTCATAGATCTTATCGATCTAACTTATACATAGAGCTACCTAGGCAGGGCCCCTCGAACCGTGGACCAGAACCATCTTGACTTGTTCACCACAGAGCTCAACTCCGAACCTAATTTATTTCTTGGGGGGTCAAAGACGTCAGCTTGCCATATTCGGATAAATCACTATTCAACCTGAAAGGGATGCAGATAAACATACCGGGCACTTGCACTGGCCGGCGGGGCACTGGCAAGAGGCGCCGCAGCTGCAACCGTGGTCGGAACCTGTTAAGAAGGCGGGCGATGTTTAGCAAACGTGGCTGACAGGTAATCCATGAGGACTAGCAGAGACAGAAAAAAAAAGAAAAAAAAAAAAGAGGAAAGAAGCAAGCCGCGATGTCCGAAGGCAGGCAGGCGAGGGGAAGCGGGAAGTCATGGGTCATGGGTCATGATAACTTGAATTAATTCCATGAACCCCGCCATTGAATTTACCCCGCCGCGCATTAGGCCATCACACAAACACACACAACCATCAACAAACATGACAAAACAGAAAGCAAGGCAAGTCAACCAATATAAAATGACTTACCCATAATTATGAGACTAGGAAGGTGTTGAAGTAATGGGTGAGATAGGCAAGGAGTATCCTTGGATTTGAGTATTGGGGAGGAGCGAGGAAGGAGGAAGTTGTTATTGTGGTCTGTGGCACGGGAGAAAAGATACTTAAGTCAATGGCGGGGTCATTCAACCCGGTATTTATACCTCGCCAGGCCAGAGCTACCTAAATCAATACATCCTCAACAACGAATAGTAACTTTACTGTACAGTACTATACTCGACCGTGACCCTCTTCTCATCCTCCTAGTGGGCCTGAGACATGAGCACATTTCTGCAGGTCAGGCTGATTTTGGCTACTCAGAACCGGCGCTGCCCACCAACCACTAACTTACCATTTGCAGTGTATGGACAGTATTAATCCTGCCTCGGGGTGCGCTCATAACGCTACTCTCTTCCGTGTTGTTGTTATCCTTTCTCTCCTGTCTCCGAATGGTCTGCCTGACTAGGTGCAACAGGATTTATATTTCCCAAATCGCAGCCAACGACGAAGCTAAGAGTATCCAAATATGATGCAGTGTGCCATCTCGTGTTTGTGCGGGAGTCTTGCACAGGATGTCAGTCTGGAGCAGTCTACAGATCATTCAACCCTGAATCTCTGCCACTGCACCGCCTGTCGCACGACTACGGGCATGCTGTGCTCTATATACTATCCCCTACAAGTAAGGCCACAGAATTTGGACGGGATGCGCAAGTACCAGCAGTTCGAGAGTCTAGTTCGATATTTCTGTAAAACCTGTGGCGCCCATGCCTTGGCGTATTCGCGGCCTTCTGAACGATATTTCGTGGCAGCCGGATTGCTGGTGGATAATGCGAATTCGCCTCGGACTCGATCGGTGCGGCATTGGCGGGCCTCTGAAACGCGCGATGGTGGCCTGACTTCTTTCCTCGAGGGGGAGCCTGCAACCATGGCCTCGACCTGCTGGCTTCGTGCTTATTCAAATAGTGATAGTGATAGAAGCTGCTCGGATGTGAAGGCGAATATCGAGCGCTCGCCCCAGGACTCCATGGAGCTGCGAGGGCAATGCCACTGTGCCGGCGTCGAATTCTACGTTACTCAACCGGATGCTTCCTCCACCGAGGCAACATCTCCATGGTCGGATCTACTGGTTCCGTACTATGCCAATTCATCGGAGAACCCTGCCGATGTCAAGTGGTGGCTACGGAATGCGAACACCAGGTATTTAGCTGGGACCTGCGCCTGTCCGTCTTGTCGTCTAGCCAGCGGGTGTCCAATCCAACCATGGGCGTTCATCCCAAAGGCCAATCTTCTCGATGCCCGCAAAGCACCGTTCGAATTCGGTGCAGGCACCATGCAGCGGTTTGAAAGTAGTCCGGGCGTTTATCGGGAGTTTTGCAGCCGCTGTGGAGCCTCAATCTTCTGGCATAGCGATGAAAGACCCTTGTTGATAGATTTCAGCGTCGGGTTGCTTCATGCAGATGAAGGTTCGCGAGCAAGCCGTTGGCTAGAGTGGGCGACCTCGAGAGTTAGTTTTGCTGAGATGGCTTTGGACAAGACTTTGATCGACCGGCTACAGATAGGTCTTAGAAAGTGCGAAGTCGGAGATGAATAGCCAGTCGACTGGAGCTGTGGCTAGGCTGCATGTGGATGACCGCCGACCTCAAGTTGTAAAGAACGAGAAAGTAGTTGTAGTTGTAGTTACTTAGCGGTAAACCTGTCTCCTGGAAGTTGCACGTTGGTTTCCCATTTTACTCCCATTCACTTGCATGCCCGTTGACCCACCCACCGCCTTCCCGAAACAGGCCGATGCGATGCGCTCCCGTCTCGTCCGCTTCCTAAAGAGACGGGAAAAAAAAAACCACAATGAAACCGACGCATCGAACACGGTAGAACACGCGCCATTTCTTTCCTTATTCTTGTCAAGGTCCAGTCGCGTTCCGTCCCTGAGTATTGGGCTTTTTCTTTCATCAACATGCCACCGGCCTATGAGTTCCGGGGAAATGACCGACGGTCATCGTATCGCCCCAAGCAAGAATTCACCTTTCGTTATCCGCGTCCTGGTACCTCCGAGCGTCCGCTACTGAGAACCAGGAGAGAAACCACGCCAGAGCAGCTGCTAGCACAGGGAACGTCGGACAGTAAACCTGGCTTGAAATTCGCGTCCATAGAAAACCTCAGCGACAGCGAAGAGGCGGACATGGACGTTTCCTCTGATGACGATGCGGATGCCACTCATCCACGCAAGAAACGCGCGGTTGAGTCTAACAGTACCACAAATACCACCACCCCTGCGGCGCCCACTCCCCGGTGGTCTAACCCTGATCCTTATACTGCGCTGCCCCCGCCCGATGATAGTCAGTCAAAGCGAGTGGATGTGGTCAAATTAATTCGCAAGGCTCGGATCGCCGCTGCGGCGCAGCCCGCACAGACGGATGCGGTAACTACCAACGAGGACTTCATCTCACTTGGCGGGCTGGGTGATGATGAGGATGAAGACAGGAACCCCCCGGAGAACGCGCCTACCGGTCCTAAGCGTCAACTTGACGGAAGGGATTCGGCGCTGGGTAGTCGCAAGAGAACATATGATGACGAGTTGAAGGGCATTTCGAAGAAGACTGGTAAACCACTGAGTCGGTTCCATAACGATGGCTCGATTACTGATGAATGGAGGGTGCGCCCACTTCAATCGGGTGCGCCCTGGCTGCATTATATGGCGCCTACCTTACACTTGGGTACCAGGTGGGTGTCGATCTTCAAGCCGAATAGAATCTTGGCTTCCGCTGACTCTGCGACAGATTGCACAACGAAATCTTAAGCTTTTATCACTGGGTGAAGCCGGTATCCTATGAGCAAATCGTGCGAGAGGACTTGGTATCTAGACTGCAGACTGCATTTCAGAGCAGGTACTACGGTGTGCAACTGCGTCCGTTTGGTTCCTTTGCGTCCGGCCTTTACCTTCCCACTGCGGATATAGATCTGGTTCTACTTTCAACGAACTTTATGCGCCATGGGATCAAGACTTTTGGCGAGCGGAAAGGTCAAATCTACGCATTTGCTGCATTTCTGAAGAACCAGAGCATAGCTGTGCCCAACTCAATTGAGACGATCGCTCATGCTCGTGTCCCCATCCTCAAATTCGTGGACAAGACTACGGGTCTCAGAGTTGATCTTTCCTTTGACAACGACAGTGGATTGGTTGCCAACGAAACCTTTAAGCAGTGGAAGTCTGAGTACCCTGCAATGCCTGTTCTTGTGTCCGTGATCAAGCAGTTCCTCCTTCTTCGAGGCCTCAATGAAGTACCCACTGGTGGATTGGGTGGGTTCTCGATTACTTGTCTTGTCACAAGCTTGTTGCAGCACATGCCTTATGGTCACTCGGCACCGAACCTAGGCAGCATGCTCATGGATTTCTTCGAATTCTACGGCAAACATTTTGACTATGAAAACGTTGCCATCCGTTTCAATCCGCCTAGTTACTTCAATAAGGTGAGTGCCGTCACAACTAGCTGAACAACAGAGCTGACAGTATGGCTTCAGAAGATCTACGGCTCCCGAGATAACAACCCCCGTCTCTCGATCGAAGATCCTAATAACGCTGATAATGACGTGTCTGGCGGCACACGAGAGATTGCTTTAATCTTCCGGTCTTTTGCTGAAGCTTACAGACGGCTCAAGGCACGAATGATCGCAACCGCCAGGTCAGAGGATCCCAAGGCTAGCATCTTGGAAACCATTATTGCGGCAAACTACGACGAATATACCGAGCAAAGGTGGCAGCTGCGCCAGATCTTCGACAGCGATCCCCGCTTCGCTCATCTCCATCAGCCTCTCACACCCCCACCCCCACCTCAAGGCTCACCCCCGGCTAATACCGCCCCGCCACCACCCCCTCTGCCTCCCAATTCCCCTCCGCCCGTGAAGGAGAAGGAGAAGGTTACTAAGCTGCAAAAGAAGCAACAAGCGGCGCGAGATCGTGCGACACGTCTTAGGCGACTACGACCAGACCTTCCATCTGTTCCCAGTTCCATCACCAATGAGCAAGCAATGAGTCTTGGTGGGTATAAGACCCAGTCAGACATGGATCGGGATCTTATGCAGCGCGAGAAAGAGTCCAACACATCTAGCGAAGACTAAGCCCGTGGCATGGTACGGTCGAGCGCATGGTATTTGTACAATTCCCCTTGATTCATCAGCAAGTGCACTGATGTCATATGCTTGGTGGTGATGACGATGTATTCCACATGGTGGCATTCTCCTGTTATCTATTCTTCTTGCGTCTTTTTGAGCGTTAGATACCCAATTCATGTAAACTTGGAAGGCGTTATGGGAGAAAGTGCTTGGGCTGGGCATTTGTTGTCTCTCTGTGGTCAATGGGAGAAATAAGGCTGCGCCTGGGGTTTCAGAGATTGGTTCGCGGTTCTCACTACTTGAAATGCCTGATAGGGAGATCTTGGAGTTTCGACAGGGCTAACATGTGTGCAGAATTACTGACGTACTTGCCTCAGCCGATTCGCAATGGGAGATATCCTGTCCTTTCGCTCCGCGATGAGGTCTTAGTCGCAGAGACCAGGGGCTTTCCTTACCGAAGCCGAAATTAGGGGCAAGACTTGTTCAGTGTCTGACTGGCAGGCAATACGCTACTAGCAGCAGCAATGAGTTAAAAGCAAAATCGAAAATGGTACAGCCGAGGAGACTCTTTTGTGTCTCTGGTTCTTTCTACACACTCCTTTCCCACCTCTTTCTCATCAAGGAAGCGCTACATGCGAGTCCTTGGGGAGGATGCTGCGGGTCGAAGGAGATGTGGACCAGTGTTTGCAGAGGCATCTAGGAAAGATCGGTCGAAAGATTGGTCACTTGGATATGCAAGTGGAAAGGCGGCAGATACACCATGAGTCATTTCAGATTATCGTTCGAATTCATAAAGGATACATGTAGGCAGTCAACCCGCCCAAAGCCCGTGTCGGCTGGGGAATGCGTGGCCGCCGGGCAGACCAATTAGATTCCATCAGGGTCACTATCATTGATGAGAAGACCAAACCGCTGTCTAGACAGGCGGCGTCGCAGACTGGTTTCCATCGCCTCGGCTAACTAGCCTCCGCAGCAGCATCTTCAGCTTTCTCAAGAGATGACAGGTGATCAGCAGGTAGAGTATTGACGAAGTCAGGTCCCGGGCTGGCCCACGTGTAGTCCACCCAATCCGGACCGAGGATGGCTTGAATCTGCTGCGCCAGATATGCGATGCGGTGCCGACGATCCCGGGACCCGTCCGACGGGGTCTGCTGCTGCTGCTGCTGCTTGTCTTGTCCATCCTCCAGTCCATCAAGAATACTCCGCCACACGCTAAGCGTCTCATCCAACTCCCTCGCATTGCTGACGCCCATCACGCTGACGCCCAGCCGCTCTCCAGTCCCACTAGAAGCCACCGAGCCCAAACCCGAGTCCGCGCTAGGGGCGCGCGCAAGAGGCGGCCCCATGGCGCCGACTTGGGCCCCGTCGCGTAACCACGCCTCCAACGCGAACCGAATCGCGATGACTTCCAGCTTCTCCGCCTCCTGGGATTGAGCCCACGCGCCGGCTGCCAGAACGGCATTGCGCAGCCCGTCCGGGGCGGGGTGAAAGTCGCCCATGCTCCCAATGGGGACGCCCTCCCTGCGCAACAGACCCATGCCCAGCGGCGAGGCATTGGGCACGACGTCCACGCCGGCGGCCACCAATCGCGGCAAGCCCTGGCTGCGGAGCTTGGTGTTCTGCAGCGTGAAGTTCGCGTACGACTGCACGAGGTCGAGGGGCTCGCCGGTCTCGCGCAGCACCAGCTCGGCGATCTCGCACAGCACTTCCACGGGGTAGCCGGAGATGCCGACGTAGCGGATCGTGCCCTCGGTGTCGCGGATGCGCCGCAGCTCGCGCACCGCCTCCAGCGCCTCGGCGCGCGACACGAACTCGACGTCGTGGCAGTACACCGCGTCCAGGTAGTCGGTGTGCAGCCGCTGCAGGCTCCGGCTGATGCTGTGGCGGATCCACCGCGGCGAGTAGTCGAACGACGACGAGGCGATCCGGCCCACCTTGGTCAGGATCTGGTAGCTGTGGCGCGGGAATGCGGTGCGGACGGCCTCGCTGGCCAGGGCCCGGCCCAGAAGCTCCTCGGCTGGGCCGTAGTATGGCGACGTGTCGAAGGCGCGCACGCCGTCGGTGAGAGCGCGTTGGACCAGATCGGTGGTCGGCAGTGCGTATGGGTCGTGGTTGTATTGGGTGTTGAAGGTCGCGGTGCCCATGATCAGGGGCGGCAGATGCGCCGAGAGGGGTGTCGAAGGGCGACCCATTGTTCTTTCGTTGCTTTTCGTTTCTGTCTTGTCCTCTGATTATAGAGACTGGTGAGAAGGTTGGAGGAAAGAAAATTAGGTGCAGTAGTAGATCACTGGGACTTTATATAGCCTGTAATAAAGCAAGTGAGGGGAAGATGGAAAAATACGTTGCGGAGATAAGGAGGCGCCGACGCGGGGACGGCAGGGAGGAAAGAGGGGAGTAGGCTAACATTTCCGACACAACCCCCCGAGGATTGGCCCTGGCCTGATGGGTTGTACGGACTTATTACACCTACTTGGAATTACTGAGAGTAAGTAAATCGCACTAACGACTATAGTGAAGCCGTGAGGTCTACGTTTCTTGCAACGTCGCTGGACCGAGAGACAATAATAAAGCATGGATCTTATTTATACATATGCACGTTGTGGATGGTCGGATTACAGCCACATAAGCTATCGCCTTTCAGCGCTCAAAGTACAGGAGGGGAGAATCAACAAAAGAGGAACGAAAAGCATGCAGAGCGAGCAAGGACCACTCTGACCCTGTCGGCTTACAGTCCCACCTCTTCAAATAATGTACACGACAAACTTCGTTTCGGACCCGATGCATCGAGAGGCAACAGTTGTCCGACTGGAAGGTTAGGCCTCAGAAAACAACAGTACCCTTCTGTCACTCAGGTGCTGGGTCCGACCCGGGTGGGCGCGGCACGCCATCGAAATCGAGGGAATCTAGAACAAGTCTTCCAATCCAAGAAACCTTGGATTCACCATAAACGCCATGCTATGCTGCGAGAAAAAAAGGGCCCTCGGAAGCGGAGGGAGGAATAGGGATAGGTCGGTAAAGTCTCGAAGACCGTTCAGTCGAGTACGATTGGCGCGATCAATCCTTCTTTTACCAGCCGCGAAATCGATCGAACACGTGGGCGGAGGGAACCGAGACGAAGGAGGGATGATTCGAAATGTGGAAGCTTCCCAATTGTAGGAGGTTCAAGCTTTTCACCGATCCTTATAGACCTTGGGCTTCCATCCCTCCTGCAATTCCTTCTCCTGGGCGGCATGGCGCTCCGCTTGTCGGACCTCCATCTCTAACCGCTCACGGGCACGAAGAATCTTGCTCTGGAGGTAGAAGCTTCCGCCCTTCTGAGGGTCGTTCATGTCGAACAATTTCTTGAAGCGCTCCATCACCTGCTCCAGGTTGGCCTCACCACCCTGTGGGGGCTTGACATTGAGGATCTTGCAGGCTTCGTCGAGGGTCAAGCCAGAGGCGGCCCCGCCGCCCACTTTCTTGCCTGTCTGAGCAGCGTACTTGGAGGAGGCCTGAGCTTGCTTGTAGGCCTCGGCGAAGGCGCGACCGAAGACGCGGGCGCCCGTAACGACGACCTGGGTGACGATGCGATGGGCCTAGATGATAGCGAAGAGCGGGAAATGTCAGTCTGGAAACAGAATGGTATCAGGAGAGAAAGGCGGGAAAAAAGCTTCGCCGACCACATACCATGATGCGTAGTAATGCTAAGAGCCGATCTAGTGGAGGGAGCACTGGTGGCGGGGGGGGG